AAAAGTCGGCAATCCAGAAGTCGAACGACCAGAAACCGACTCCCCCAGACCAGAAGCCGACGGTTCCGGTTCCGGTCCTGAGGCCGGCGGTCCAGAGGTCGACGTACCAGAAGCCAACGCCCCCGGACCAGAAGCAGACGCCCCGGAGCAGAAGCAGACGGTTCTGGTCCCGGTCCAGAGGCCGGCGGTCCAGAGGTCGACGGTCCAGAAATCAAAGAACCAGAAGTCGACGCCCCCGGATCAGAAGAGGACGCCCCCGGACCAGAGGCCAACTCCCCAGGGCCATGAGCAGACGTCGCCAGACCAGAAGCAGATGGTTCCGGTTCAGGTCCAGAGGCCGGCGGTCCAGAGGTCGACGGTCCAGAAATCGAAGGACCAGGAGTCGACTCCCCCGGATCAGAAGCTGACGCCCCCAGACCAGAAGTCGATGGTGGTCGACGCCCAGTCCTGTCCTGTGGTCGACACGCCTTCCGGTTCTGAAGTCGACGCCCCTTCCTGTTCTGAAGTGGATGCCCCTTCCTGTTCTGAAGTCGATGCCCCTTCCTGTTCTGAAGTCAACGCCTCCTCGTGTTCTGAAGTCGACACCTCCTCGTGTTCTGAAGTTGTCTCGTCTGAAGTCGACCTGTCTGAAGTTGTCTCATCTGAAGTCGACATGTCTGAAGTTGTCTCGTCTGAAGTCGTCTCCTCTGAAGTCGACGTGTCTGAAGTCGTCTCCTCTGAAGTCGACGTGTCTGAAGTCGACGTGTCTGAAGTCAACGAGTCTGAAGTCGACGTGTCTGAAGTCGTCGTGTCTGAAGTCGACGTGTCTGAAGTCGTCTCCTCTGAAGTCGTCTCCTCTGAAGCCGTCTCCTCTGAAGACGTCTCCTCTGAAGTCGTCTCCTCTGAAGACGTCTCCTCTGAAGACGTCTCTGAAGTTGTCCCGTCTGAAGTCGCCTCTGAAGACGTCTTGTCTGAAGTCGCCTCTGAAGACGTCTCTTCTGAAGTCGACGTGTCTGAAGTCGTCTCATCTGAAGACGTCTCGTCTGAAGTCAACGTGTCTGAAGACGTCTCGTCTGAAGTCGTCTCATCTGAAGACGTCTCGTCTGAAGACGTCTCGTCTGAAGTCGCCTCGTCTGAAGTTGTCTCGTCTGAAGTCGCCTTATCCACTCTAGAGGTCGACGCTCCCTCTGGTCCGACGTCTCCACCGTCTCCGGTTCCAATGGTGGTTCTGAAGGTCGCTCCGGTCCAGTCCGTCCAAGAGACTATGTCCCCGGCCCAGCCTGCAGAGACTATGTCCCCGGCCGCTTCTGCAGAGACCCTCTGCCACAGGCGCTGGCCTCCAAGGGCCCGTCGCCTCCTCATCTGCCGCAGGCGCCGGCCTCCATGGGCCCGTCGCCTCCTCCTCTGTCCCAGGCGCAGGCCCCCGGACTCTGCTGGTCCCTGCCGCCTCTCCATCGGTCCCTCGGTTCCTCTGGGCCCTCCCTCCGGGTCCCCCTCTTTCCGCCCTGCTCCTTGTTCCTGTGGGCGTCTGGGATGCGCCCTTTGAGGGGGGATGGGGGGGGGGGGGGGTACTGTAACACCCTGTCCTGTCTTCCCTTATGTTTTAGTCTGTGTCTCTGTTAATTGCTCCCACCTGCCTATTGTTTTCCAATCACCCTAGCTCCCGCTCCTCGTGTATTTAAACCCCTTCTGTTCTGTGTTTCATGTCGGATCATTGTTTCTGTAACGTGAGGAAATATGGGTTTTCTGTGCAAAGGTTATACTTTGCCCGGCTGGGTCAAAGCTGGGTCGCTGAGAACTTTCACCCACAGATTAAGACCTGAACGCCAGCGAGTCTGGGAGAAACCATAACATCTGAACACCTGCAGTGCCAGAAGATGTGTTCCCATGGAAAAGCTAGTCATAACATAACAAGTCTTAAACTTCCTTTCCTTTATTTTAAGTTGTTAAAAAATCATTATTATCACTTTGCTTATTATAAATGTGTTTTAATCAAATGAATGATTATTATGCTTTGAGTAATCATAATAACAAATGAATCAATGCTTAATGAAATAATATTTGAGGATGTTTTAGTGGTGACCTTCACACACTCAAACACTCACACACACACAAACTCTCACAGTAAATTCAAAACACATTTGCTGATGCACAAGTTTTGCTTTGAGAAGAGAAAGGCTTTTGGTAAGTTTCAGTTCATGATTCAGTTCGGTGTTTGACCACGAAAGAGGGAGGGCTGCGCCCCCCCCCCCCCCCCCCCCCCCCGCTGTTCCTGCCAAGCCAGACAGGACAGCTGAATTACAACCGCTAACGCAGACTCGTCCAGAGTCTTTGATTTTCTGAGTAATTAAACTTAAGAAAGCGCATCTGCAAACGCTTCATCACGTGTACCGAGGTCATCTCTGGACCGGGTCGCAGCACGCCTTCGTCTTCTCTGCCAGCCGAGGTGTCACCCCTGGATGAAACATCGTCCTTTGACGTCCCGGGTCTAAAAGAGGGTCCGAATACGGTGAGGCAGTCCACGAGAGATAGCGTATGATGCATCTTTTCCAACAAAACCTAAGTTTATTCAAACCATCACTTTTCACTCAGACACCTGTTTCTTCCTGAAGCAAAATCAGATGCACACACACATTCATCTTACCTTATTCTCAATTTTCACTACATTTTGCACACACGCATCCATAATCACATCACATCACTGTCAATCTTCACATTCAACACAAGGTCTATTTGTGCAAGCTTACAATATCAACTGTTAAAGATTGTTCAACAAAGTTGCCAATGTTGATTGTTGTTTCCTATGCTTGTCATTTCAAAATCATTAGTTTAATTTGAAGAATTAAATCTTTTAACTTTCAACTTGTCTCTTCATTGAACTGAAACACAGACCCACAGATATTATCGACAGTTTATCGATGAAAACAACCTTTGAGTCTTCTTAAAACTATAAAATATGTAGGATGGTTCCTCTTTCATAAAAGAGCATAAACCATTACTCTACATTATTAAAAGAGCCTAATCAGGTTCACTACATTTCATTGTCCAGTGTGCGTCCTAATAAATATGTGTGTAAAGAATCCTACCTGTCTGCCTGCTTCCTCCCAGGCCTGGATCCTCATCTCTTCTCCATTTCACCCAGCCGGCGCGCATGACAGCTGCCAGTCAACTTCAGGGTTCATTTCAAGATCGTGGTTCTGGTCTACAGGGCCTTACATGGACAAGCACCATCTTACATTGGTGATTTTCTTAGTCCCTACACCCCCAGCAGGTCCCTGAGGTCCAGTGATCAAAGCCTACTGGTTGTGCAGCACCAGGCTAAAGACCAAAGGTGACAGATCATTTGCTGCTGCGGCCCCCAGAGTCTGGAACTCTCTCCCCCTGAGCCTGAGATCAGTGGACTCAGTGGACTCCTTTAAAAAGCAGCTGAAGACTCACTTGTTCAAGCTGGCTTTTGTATGACCTTCACCACTCTCTCTTTATTCTGCTCTCCACACCTATTCCACCATCCTCAGGATCCACTGATTTCCCTTTTTCTATTCACTCTCTCTCTTTCTTAACATTTTTTTAATCACAATTGTCTATTTTTGCTCACTTTAAATATATTTTTAAATATTTTCTAAATGCTATTTTATATTTTTACATTTTTTGTTTTTGTGAAGTGCCTCGTGATTTTTTATCTTGAGAGGCACTATAGAAATTATACTTTCTTCTTCTTCTTCGGGAGGGACTCGGAGAAGAACCGCTTATTCTCCGGATCGAAAGGAGTCACTTGAGGTGGTTTGGGCAGATGCCCAAACCACCTCAAAAGGCATCCAGGAGGCATCCTGACCAGATGGTCAGGATGCCTCCTGGACGCCTCCCTGTGGAGGTGTTTCGGGCATGTCCTGCCGGCAGGAGGCCCCCGGGTCGACCCAGGATACGTTGGAGAGGTTACATCTCCAATCTGGTCCGGGAACGCCTTGGGGTCCTGTCAGAGGAACTGGTGGAGGTGGCTGGGGAGAGGACGGTCTGGAGCTCCCTAGTTGGGATGCTGCCCCTGCGACCCGGACCGGGATAAGGGGAGGAAGACGACGACGAGAATCCAGTAGAACTACATTGTGTCTGTTTCTCATGCAGCCCCTGGGACCGGTTAGAAACAGACGCAGCAACAACTCTCTTCAAATCTGAGCCAATAAACAGGTTTATTTATAAATAAATGAATAAAAGGAGGCTGATTTGGCTTGTAGGGCAAATCAGATCATATTAATTGTGTCTAATAAAAGTTTCTTTACAACAGATTAAATTATAAATTAATTGTTTTTAATATTCTTAAGTTTCAAGTTTTCGTAGGTATTTATTAAGAACCTAGAATAACTATTTAAATTTTTGAGCATAAAATATTGTTTGTAAACTAAAATAACATGACTCTGTTTTTTTACAGCCCTAACTTAAAATAGTCAATTGTTTCAATTCAATTCAAGTTTATTTATATAGTGCCAAATCACGGCAAGAGTCGTTTCCCTTCTCTAAAGGAACAAAGTCCTTTTAACTGAGTCAGTTTTGTAAACTCACATAAAGTAAGGCGAACAATTAAAATGAAAATGACTAAGGTTTTTGAATTCATGGCCCGAGATCCTCCAGAACTAAAATGAAAAGATTAAAACTGTATACCCATGCATGTTCTGCTGTGGTGCCACTTTCTTCAGCCAACCTTTTATTTATCTGCTCTAAATCTGAGCCACTTTATTTTTAAACAAACCACACCTAATCCGTGAGAATAACAACTAAATGAAGTTTGTTTCGTCAGTTTGAAACCAGATGGTTTGCGTTCTTGATCCAATCGCATTCATTAGCATCTGAAGAAGTCCTCGAAACTCCCCTCTGTCCTGCTTTCTGTGTCAGGCAGGTGAGGAGGAAAAGAGCCCCGCCCACCTGTGCGCAGCGCGCTACACCTGTCCTATTTGGATCCGCCCCTCCCTGCTGAGTTTCAGTGTTACTTGTTTTTAAGAAGCACCTGTTGGGCTGTCAGACCCAGAACTACCAGGATCGTCAGCTAGGCAGCCAGCATGCCGTTCTGGTCCGTTTTCACCAACAATCCGGACTTTGTCCGGAGATCCCTGCGCACGCCGGGCATCCTGATCTTCGGATTGGTTCTGTCTCCCTGCGGGTGGATCCTGAACTTGACCAGCACCGTGGCCCCAAACTGGAGGACCCTGCATGGCTTCCAGAACAGACCAGATTCATATACGATTGAACAAGGGATCTGGGACGTCTGCATCGCCGCTGCCGCCGCGCAGAGCGAGCGGTGTGGTCTGACAGACACCATCTACTTCAAATCCAACCAGGTGGTCACAGTGGCGCAGGGGATGATGATCGCATCCCTGATAGTGACTCTGATCGGGCTCGGGTTTGCCATCCCGGGGGTGCGCTGCTGGAAGGAGAAGCCTCTCTGGGTCATCTGCGCCATCGCTGGGCTCCTGATCTTCTTGTCAGGTGCCTTGACCATCATTCCCATCGCCTGGTACAACCACGTGGTCGGTAACATCACATCCACGTTCCAAGAAAACGGCCTGGACATCCGCGTGGGCTACTGCATCGTGCTGGGCTACATTGGCGGGATCTTTGAAGTCCTGGCCGGCATCGTCATGATCTTTGGCCTCTGCCGTTGCTGCAAAGGTTGGAATCGAGACGAGAGACCAATTGAGGAAGCAGTTGCACGCGCGCAACGGGACCGCCACCAGCCGCGCCAGTACCCACCACCAAGACCGGAGAGGAGGCACGTGGATGTCCCGAGCCTGAACCGAACCAGGAGCGGGGCCGGCAGCAGCGTGCCCTACTCCAAGGACTCCATGGATGATGATGATGATGTGTCGTTCCCCCGGGCCAAGAGCGTCGCAGCCCGGTCAGACAACAGCTCCTTCAACAGCAGACCCTATGACGCAGACCTATGAGAGCCAGACAGGCTGATCCGAGCGTCAAATTTACGCAGAGAACAAAAGCCAAATAGAAGAACTGTAAAAGTTGTATGAGATGACAGGAAAGAACTTTGAAGTATTTGAAAACCAACAAAATGGGCAGAATGTAAAACAAAAGTAAAACCTACAGAATTATATTGTGGATTATTCCTCAGTTGCTGTTTTATACTTGAAAGCCTCAACAAGTGCAGAGAAGTTTATTATAACGTTTTTAAACTACGAAGAAGAGTGTTTCAATTTAACATCAAATAAAAACGCAAGAAGTTGTCTTTGATAATGCTGACCTTAAGGTGGACGTGCTTTTCACCTTGAAGGAAAATTGAAAGTTTTCTTTACAAATCTTTGGGGTTTTTTTCTTCCATTTGTTTGTAAATACTGTTCTATGCACTTTTTGGTTTTGGAGGATGACTGTCTGATTACTGAGGTGATGTAAAACTCTGTTTTTATTACATATGAGCTCTATTTCTTGACTTAACTTTGTGTTTAATAATAAAAAAAAGAAAATCTTTATTTGGTAGCCAAAAAAAGAAAACGTGAGCAAAAATTAACAAATATGCAGATGGCTATGTATGTCCTCCTTGCAGAAGAAACTTCTTCAAACAGATGCATTTTTTGATCTTTCACCTGATCCAGTGTCTTGACCTCTTAAGTATACAGACAATGTGGCCAGACCTGTCTGAGAGGTTGGGCTCTTTCGACATCCTGTACAACAACATTTTCATTTCTGTTTAAACAAGAGAGAAGGCGAGGTTCAAGCGAAGTCTTTTATGAATAAAATGGTTTGCTAGACATCACAGTGCTGACGTCCCCACTGGACCTGCTGATCACCAAAAACCACAAGTCAAATTTAGAGGATTTCCATTTAGTGATAAGTTAAAACGAAAACCAGCAACTTTTTGATGTTTTTTTTTTGTTGTTTGTTTTTTTAATGCTTCATTTTAATTATATTTTGGCAGGGATTTTTACTTAAACCTCACCTGCCACTAAGTAGGACATCCAGTTATCTTCAGAACATGCCACACATTCAATAAGATGCAGTAAACATTCCTCATGGGTTCTGTTCCAAATCGACTCCACTAATGTGGTTTTCCTATTGTTGATGGCTGATACCAATGCTAAGGCGTAGAGGTCATGCTCAGCCAGTGGCTGATATGTGCTGCAGATTTTTGGTCCATTTTCTGCTTCATTCCCATGCTAAAATGTCACTAATAGTCGTCATGACACAACACTTCTACCTGGTAAGTTTTTTAACTCTGAATTTAACTCTTGAATCTTAATTTTGCACACCCTGAAAGGCTCAGTATTACAATCAAACATTTAACCAAAGTTGATCAAACAAATGAATGAACAGACAAAGCAATACATATTTAACAGATAAAAAACACACCTGTCAACGATATTGTTTTAGAGCATTTATTAAGCAGATTTTATGAAAGTTAGATTTAATTTAATAAAAAAAAATGGCAGCAGCAACAGGCTGTTTGCATTTAAATCAACTACTGAAGTTTAGTGACCAACATACTGTATAAGAGAGGTGGGCAATCCCTGGTGCTCAAGGTCTGATATCCAGCAGGTTTTTGTTGTTTCACTGCTTAAACACACCTGGTTTGAATCTGCTGGTGATTAACAGGCTGCAACAGAGCCTGATGATCTGATGAAAAGGTGATTCATCCAAGGATCAGGTGTGTTGCAGCAAGAAAACAACTAAGACCTGCTGGATAATGGCCCTCGAGGACCAAGATCGCCCACCTCTGCTGTATATGATAAATATCTGCCCACTCTTGTCTATCACTAATATTAACAGAGGAGCGTAACACAGTTGCATTCTGTTCCACCACATCCCAAAGGCGGATAGGACTGAGATTTGGTGAATGTGGAGGCTGTTGGAGTCCACCCTGATCGCAGGGGCGGTCCTAGCCCATTTGGTATTATAACATATTTAGAATTGATGCATAAATAGCACACATTTTTTTAATGGAGTAGTCTATGACAATAGCAGTGCTTGGAAGTAATGCATTACTCAGTAACTAGAGGTGGGTAGAGTGGCCAAAAAATGTGCTCAAGTAAAATAGCATTATTAAAAAAAAAGCTCTAGTGAAATAGTTAAATGAACTACATGAGTAGTAGTAATCACACATGCCAGAGTATTAGATGAGATATACGTAACTCCTAGTTACTTTGAACAAGTTGTAAAAAAGAAAAACTCTTTTAATGAAATGTAATTTGTCAAGACATTGTTCATAGATAATTAAACATTTTAAACAACTGTTTTTTTTATTGCAGTAGGTCTACTTTAAATAATGTTTAAAATGACATATTGTCTAATAATACCGCTTCAGATTTCTATAAAATGTTTCTAAACTGGGTAGTAAAATAACTCTAGTCACTGGGTAACCAGTAGGTAGACTGATTTATTTACTGCTAAGTTAGACAACAACATAATACTGGTTTTAGCGTATGCAAACAACTCACAAACAATTCTGATTGGTCGTAAATTGACAACAGGAGACAAATCAATAGATTACATTCAGTGAAGAGCTGATTCATTTGATACTTAAAAGAAGATGAAATAACAACAGTGTCCATCTAATCTGCTGTCAGCCAAGAAAAAAAAAGTAAAAAGCCATTGGCTCTGATTTTAATTTCAGGAGGAAACTGGAATATGGGAGAGTCAAGTTTATAAGCTGTAGCTGTCTTTTGTTATTCAACGAGCAGAAGGCCCCCAGGTCGACCCAGGACTATGGAGGAAATACATCTCTAGGTTGGCCAGGGAACGACTGGGAGTCCCAGCTGAGGAGCTGGCGGACGTGACCAGGGAGAGGATTGCCTGGAAGGCCCTACTTGGGATGCTGCCCCTGCGACCTGAACCTGGATAGGCGGAGGAATTTGAGGTGAGGAAACTCAGATTTTGATTTAATCAGAGTAGTTTCTGCTCGTTAAACAACAATATACAGCTACAGCGTATAAGCTTTACTCTCATGTACCAGTCAGAGTTGACAAAGCTTGATCCATCTTTTGTATTTTTGCTGTGCTGTGTTTATGATCCTTGTTTTGTTGTTGTCTATTTTATTATTCTCCCATATGCAGTGGTCTGTTACGGCTGGTTTCTTTATTGTACTCTTTGCTTCTTGTTTCATGGCTCTTGTGTGTCTTTGACTTGTTTCTTTCTCACATTCTTTTCTATGTTCTATTGTTCGTATGTTGAGTTGTCCGGTTTCTCCTATGCATGTTTTATTGCAGAGTTTGAATGGGATTTCGTACATGACTCCACACTTATGTCCTGCTGATATCTTGTCTTTTGGGTGTATCCGTCTGTTTCTAACTGTTATGTATGGTTTTATTGGCATGCTTAACAAAACTAAACAAAACCATACATCTTAGAACCTATCTTAGAAAAAAACTCCACAGCTGAAAGTCTTGTATTATTATTGTTCTACGTGTATTCAGCTCGTTAGAGAACAGAAGCTGACTCGGCAGCACCTGATGTCTGATCAGTCCTCCACTACTGGAGCAGGATTTCTCAGGTAAACCAATCTGTTAGATTGTCATCAGCCATGAGGAGTCATGAATTCAGAAGATCAGTAAAATCATTTTGCACCGAAAGTTTTAAAGAGGGAGCCTAAACGACATTACTTTCCTCAGAGTGAGCATGCATCTTTATGTATTAAAAATGCAACTAAACTCTGGCCTGGCCAGCCATGCCATTAGCTCCTTATGAGACACAAAGGGCCTGGTAATGCTCCCAATCAAATAGCCCCACCCCCTGAGAATTCTAACCGAGCCAATCAGTGCTGAGCAGCGGACGTCACACACCGCGATTCTCAGTTTCTAATTAAAAAAAAACAACTAAGAAGGCGTCTGAAGGGTTAGGGTTAAGGTTTGCTGTTGCTTTTCTGTTCTAAATGACTCGGACACGTCTTTAAAACCACAACAAGAAGCGCTAAAAGCCTTTCTGCTAAAGAAAGATGTTTGTGCCGTCGCCAGACGCCATCTTTGACTACAGCCAAAAAACTACAGCTTTGTGCGATACAGTCGTCATTTCCACCTTTTTTACTGATTGGTTATTTTTGAGCAAGCTAGTCCCGCCCCTCATTGTGCTCTCTGCCTCTAAGGATCCAGACTAGTTCTCTGAGTAGTCTGTAGTCTGGCTAGCAAAACTTCAGAACACAAGAATCCTGAGACATTTATATCCAGTAAAAAACCACGAATCGTTATTGAAAAGAATAAAAAAAAAGCAAAACTTAAGAGGCAATCAGCTTTATTAGCATACATTTGTAGACACTAATAAATAAATTGTCCTTCATCCATTATATTAAGATGCTATAGAAAAAACAAAAGGGTGTTATTCTGTAAAACAGAAATGCTCAGGGTAACGTGTGTGCACATAAAGAGTTAGCACAGCATAAAAGACAATAACAAAAATACAATAAAACTGGAAAAGGCACCCATGAATCAAAGAAATACGCTTATAATTGCCCTAATAGAACAGAACAGAAGTCATCTGTAAAAATCAACTTCACCATTAAAGTTTTGAATCTGAAATGTTTCTGCAAAGAAAACAAAAGCTGGAATTACATAGATTTCAGACTCTGATGCAGAAAACACAGTTTGGACAATACCAGATAAAAAAACAAACAACATGCTCTAGTTTTGTCATATATGCATCTTGTGTTCAGACTGGGCAAGCCGGAACTGAAAACACAAAACAGAGTCTTGTCAACAAATCTGTAGAATTCATCTTTTGCAGATTTTCCAAGAACTCACTGACGACTGACCCAGCACAGTCAGAATATTCTAAGATGCCGAGCGTGTGCGCACTCGACGCCAAGCTCGGTTCAGGAACAACACAAATATTTAGTAAGACAGTAGGTGAAGCTATCTCATTACAGCTACACCTGCTGCTGTTCTGCACAAAAACAGCCTAATAAATACAACCACCATGGCACATACAGTCAATCTGAATAGATGCCCAAATGTTAAGTTAGTTTAAAAGACATCATGGCCTAATACTCAAGCGATGGCTGCAAAAACACTGCACACATGGATGGTGACAACTGCACTACCAGCACTATAAAATGATAGATGTGACCATTATGAACGCACAATGCCCAGATTGATAGTTTTCATTGACACATTCTGTTGTGTGACATGATGCATATTTGTTGATTTATGTAAACAAAACTATGCTTTTCTATCAGTGGATGATATGGAAGAGTAAATCTGCATTATTTCAGTTTTATTCTGTGCAAACATTTAAAAGCATGAACTGGAGGTCCCATCAGAGTGATGCTTGCTGTTGGATGGATGAAGTCGGCCAAAGTGCTTCAGTTTGTCAGTAAAGTTTTAGCATCTGAGCAGCCGCGGTTTAAACAAGAACACATTCTTGAGTCCCCTTGCTTGACAACACATTAAAAATCTGGACAAGAATGAAAGAACTTAGTTTGAATTTGTTTTACATTCATTTTAATAACAAACTCCCTTTGATTTCTGTGTTTTATTGATCTGTTCTAAAGTCAGCTAAAGAGTGAATTGCACCGACGTGCAAAACATCAAACTGAGAAATTAAAAAAAAATATCAATTTGAGGGATTTTTGCTACTTATGAGTAACTTTTTCAAAGAAGAGCAACAAAAGTCCATTAAACACATTAAAACAAGTTTTTTAAAACAATAATTCAATGGAGTTATGGTCCCTTATGCTGCAGTTGTTAAGACAATGGGTTGCTGCTTTGAGCAGGTTACATCCTCCCATTTGATCAGAGAAAAAGCTGTCCACAGTCACACGCCTACCTCAGATC